CTGCTAAGCACCACGATGAGGAGTGAAACAAGATAGTGATGAGCTGACTCCAGGAGTAGTTGTAACACTTTTCCTGGGCAGCACCATATCCCCTGATAGTGGGGTATTTGGCACAACCATAAGAAGAATATAATAACGTAGCAAACAGTGCTTATATTTACTTGAATAAAGGATGTAACAAGTATGCCCATCACAAAAAAACCAGCTGGATTCAGACAAGGACTAAGCTGCTGCCCATGTTTCCAGACTATGATGAAGGCTGATATTTAAGTGCCTGCATTTGGCTTCGTAGCTGCACTTAGCTGGGTTTCAGCACATAGTTGATTATTGGGTCTCAGTGGTAGCTTGTTAAGCCACAATAATTTAATCATTTGTGCTTGTCTGCTCATAATTTGTATTTCAGGACTCCATGAACAGAAGTGTTACACTGGCATTGCTGTAAAGAGGGCTAGACTCAAAGATTTCAAAAGCTAGGAGGTCTTCATGATGCTTGAGCTCTCTCATACATCAGTCTTAGAGATGGCCAACCTCAGTTACCTGACCTTTTCAGCTTACTGACATAATGGAAAAATAGAAACAACCATTCAATGACAATAAAAGGGAGAACAAATAGATAATGGTTGCATTCTTAAGTAATACATACATAAAAGATTAGCTGCATCAGGTCAGAGAAAATATTTGATCCATTAGTCCCACCTCCACTCATGACCAGCAGTAGGCACCTGGAAAGGAGCACAAGAAGGAGATAGCCATGGAGAGATATTTCCCAGGTAACTCTCCCACATTTCAGAAATATACAGTTCATCGACCTCCAGTGCTAAAGGAAAGGAGTGTAAATCTATGTGTGTATTCATGCCTTTGGAGGGAGATAGCTGATGCATAACCAGAGACACATTTCTGTGCTCACTTTTCCTTTTTAATCAGTCTCTTGTGTCAAGGAGTGAAGAAGGTGTGCTTTCTTTTTGGTTTGGATATTTTTGTGGGGGTGGGACACACGGGCACACCACAGCCTCTTCCACACTTCAGTCTGTTGTTAGTTAGGAGCACAGCTTTCACAGGGCCTTGTCTGTATAAGCAAGTAGCTCTCTCCTCCTATTTACCTATGGAGCTCCAAAGAGAATCAGCCTGTGGGATGGAAAGGCAACGAGACAATTATTTTTGAGTAAGAAGGAAGGTGAGGTAGCTGTTTTATCTTTTATCTTAAAACTCCTGCCTTATAACATTTCTCTGCTCACCAACCATGTGCTTTGCATGACTCTGAATGACAGAGTTGGAGGGCTAGACAGAGCAAGTGAAAGTCAGTAAAGACAGCGCAGACTTCGCCAAGAGGAAATTGGAGAAGAACAAGTAGTGAAAGAGCAGCCAGGGGTAACTCTGATGTACAAAAATACATTTATTTTCAACAATTTCAAAACCACTGCCTTTTTTACAGTAGAAATATTCAAATGGAACAATAAAACCAAGAACAGTATATATATATGTATATATATGACTCATGCATTTGTATTACTGTGTTTAATACAGGTATTGCAATTGTCTGCCTCATTTAATCATTTAAAACCATGGCGGTGGTTTTGGTTTAATGCATTATCCGACATCATCAGAAGGGATGCGAGGATTCTGGTTTCATTTGTCAGAGCTGGTTGCTCAATCCAAATATCACAGAGGTCCCATGGACAGATTCAGCCCTGGGTATCCCACTGGGATGCAGTAGTTGCCTTTCTTGTATCCTAAAGGAGCAGCTTTCAGTCATGAACACAAGCTTTTTACAACTGCCATCAGCCATGGTTGTGCCCTAAAGCAGCAAGTGTGATGTGGCCCATGTGGTCCCATGTACATCCTAGAGAGCTGTTTCCAAATGTGCCTGGAGCACACTGTCCAGACAGCAGTGTGACAAACTACCCTCAGAGGTAGTGATACTCACTAAGTCTCACAGAAAACAAAGCTTGGGCCAACTCCAGAATCAGGTGGGGTTTTTTGACATTTAATTTTGGCTCTATGGATTTTGTTTCTTTGCTCTCTAATGTCTTTAGGATAATTTTGGATTGAAAATGGATTTCAAGACAGATGTTTATCCAAAAATTAACTGTATCATTCAGAAACTTCTCAGCTTTCATTGAGACTAAATTTGTGAGAACTGAAAATGTTTCCATTATTTTCAGCAACTTACTCCCAGTTTTTCCCCTTGTTTTCTGCCATCTGTTATGAGATATTTAACAGCCATCTTCAAGAGTGTAAAGGGAAAAAACTGCAAAGAAATTGTAAAAAATTTTGAAAAGAAATAGTGAAAACTGTAATCCCCTGCTTTTCTTTTTAAATCAACATGGTATCAATCCCATGAAAAAATCCTAGAAAACTCTAAACAATGAACATTTTAATTTTATTTCCTGGCTTATAAAAGAAAAAGTTAATATGGAAAATAAGGAGTATTTATCATCCAGTCCTTCACAGCAGCTCAGAAGAGCAGTCCCTCAAATCCTAATGATCAGCAAAGACCGAGATCAGCCCACGATTTAGCTCAAGGCCTACAAGATTATTGTTTATGTACATCACTCCCATCTATACCTAAATGGGAAGCTACGGTCTTGTGCTAACAACATTAACACCAGACTGGGCCATTACTGTGAACTACTTCCATGCTGCAGTAGAACTGAGACAGTAATGCAACAGTTTATGCACATGCGATGGATGGAAACTCAAGGTTAGACAGCAAAACACCACCACTACTCTCCAGCTTATATTATGAACTAGAGAAGAAATGTGAGGGAGCAAACAGAAAAGAATTATTTTTAAACCAGCAGAAAAGGCTTACAAGCCTGACTGAAATACAGAAGCAGAAGAATTGAGAATATTTAGCTTTACTACTTTACGGCAAACAGTATTCCCCTACATTTTGGTGATACAATTATAATCTTAAAACACTTTCTGTGTTTTTCTGCAAAACTGTGTTCAACCACTCCTCTTTCTACATTCAGACCCATTAGGATTATAACTTTTGAAAGACATTCTAGCCCATTAACAGGGTGAATACACATCATTTGGGCTGGTTTGTAGCCAATTGCTTTATTGCACTGCAGAGAGGTAGAAAGTAACACCTAAATCCTAGCCTTCTCCTCATTTAAGTCCAGATATATTAAAGGTGATGTGGAGTTCTGTATACGGATCCTAAAAATTCATAACAAACATTGTCACCTGAGCTCATTTCAGCCTCCTGCTACCATGTAAGCACTAGAACATCTACCCAAATGTGCCTCCAATCTTCCCTCCACACCTACTAGGTCTTATAACTCTACATCCTGCAGAATAAGGTTCATTTTTAATATAATCAACTCAAGAAAAATAGGTAAAAGTAAATCGCCACTAAGTCAACCTCCTGCTCCGAAACTCTACCACTCCTAGGGGCTATCCTAAACTCAGTGTGCTAGAAGATGACTAAAGAGCTTTTTCACTACCTTTCCTTCATCAAGCTCCCTATTCTAATTGGAAATCACCAAGCCACCACACAAAAATTACTCTGATGGCATTTTCATCAAAAATTGGAAGCAGCCATTCTGCAGCACTCAGAAAAAAACCCCTTTCCTAGTTCAGTTATGCAAGTCTGACCCTGCATCTCCTCTCCACAGAGACTCCAAAGCAGTCCCTAATTGCATGTATCATGTTCAGCCAAAACTTACTACTCCTACGCATCCTGAATAGAAGTATAATTCACCAGCTTAACTGCTAAAAGCATGACTTCTCACTGGGAATAAAGCTACTGCAACCTGGCTCGCTTTTGAGTTGAGGTTGTACTGGGTACTGCAAGCACACTGATATTTGCCCAAATTTCATGTTTGTTTTTCTCATTCTCCCTAATGGATGTCACCAAGATCCTTCTCAGAAGTGGACAACAGTGACAGATGTGAATAAATTATTAATATCAATAAAATATCCATGACACACTCATAGTCTGTCCTGCTAACATCTTTTTCTGCTTATCATAGGAAATGATTATATATATATATATTTATTTAAAAAAAAAAGGCTTGCAGTATACACAGAGAAATAAACTATGTTCTTTATACACAGCAGTGTCAGATTGAAATATGACAGACAACTGGAATACGCTTGGAACCAAAGCATGATTCAGGTGCTCACCACGGTCCCTGGTTGGCTGGCATGTACGAGCGCGTGCACGTGCGTGCGTGTGTGTGTGCACGCGTGTGCGTGCATGTGTGTATGTGGTTCAGGTTTTCTTTTAAACATATCTTCTTTTACTAAACATTAAATTATTTCCCAAGAAATAAAAAGCTATGTACATTGTCATTATCTACAGTAGGCCTTCGGCATCCTCGCTATTCACATGCATGGGGTTTGGGCTGCATTCATAAACTCAGGCAAGCTCCTTCATTGCTTGTGGTGCTGTCCCCTCCAGCCAATTCACAGCCCAAGGAACACTGATGTGTTTGCTCTGCTTTTTTTTTTTCCTTTCTCAGCAGTCAACAGTGCCAGAGGATGACTGAAATTAAAAGCAATTAAAAGAGGCAAGATCTTGCAAAAAGCTGAGACATGCATGTCATTGGAAAGCAAGAATGGATGGCATGTTGCAGAATCTGGTCCAACAACCCAGCCTGAGCCCTCTGGCAGAATGAAGTAGCTTATTTTGAAAAGGCCTGAAAAGGGACAATTTACCTACAACATGTTGCCTAAAGTACCATACCTACCTGTTCAATTTGAATACTTAATTCTCATTCTGTATTTAAAAGAGGGCTGGCATTCAAATCCTATTGCACAACTGACTCATTCTTTGCTCTTTCTTTCTAATCTGATGACTATTTCCTAAATATGAAGAACCCCTGCTATTTATGAATGCAGCCCTGGTAAACACAAAAAGCCCACCCCACCTCCCAAATGATAATAATAACATGTAACTCTTTCTTCTTTTATAATAATAATAATAATTATAACAATAATAATTACAAATAAAAAGTCAGAAATTTTGTAGACCAAGTGGATTCTCAGTATTAAACACTAGTGCAGTTGGGGATTTCCTTTGTGCTTTCACTGTTGGCAATTGTAGAGATGCTTCCTGTGGAGGAGAAAATGGAGAAGAGTGTCAGTGCAGTGACTTCAAGAGTTTGGTCTCTATTGCTTCTCACTCCTTAGGATGTGCTTGTGTAAGTGTAAAGACAGAAAAGGTGCTTAAAAGTAACACATCCTTCTTTGCATTTGCATGGAGCATGCAGAAAACCTGTTACTGCAGCTCAGTTGACCAGCAGTAAACTCATTATTTTAAACTATTAGAGATGTAGTCACTTGTAATGATAGCAGACCAACAGTATAAGCTTGGCTCAGCTCATTCTTCCAAGGTTTCAGGGAATTTGGGACCCTTTCACAGGAGAGACAGGGTCATGAGCAGGCATAGGTGTGAGCCACAGCCATTACTAACTATTATGTATCTATTGCTCTTTTCCAGGTTTTCTACTCTGGTCATGTAACACTGTGAGAAAAGCTGAAAAACTATAGGAAAATTCCCTGTAACCATGCCGCAGAGAGAGAATTTTTCCCTATCTCAGTGCCTCAGGTTCTGCTTGTACCTGGGGTCATAGCTGCTGCATCTCCCAATACCCCAATGACCAACATCCCCACCCATACTGTGAAACAAGCTCCAGCTGAGCACTGTCTCTCACCCATCACTCGTGTGTCCAGCTCTTTGTCCATCAGCTCCTCAGGGTCTGTGAATTCACTCAGAGTGATTTTGGGGGCATTTTCACTTTGGCTGACAGAGCCAATCATTTCCTGCTCCTTGTCATGCTGAACTTGGGCATAGATGTTAATCCAAGGTATTTTCCTGTGCAGGAAAGGAAAATGAGAGGTTATATTTTGTAACACAGAGATCTTGGGTATGTCATTAATTAATCAGACCAACTAAATGGAGACAAATACCAGAAATGTAGCACTGGCAGCGATGCAAAATACCAGCTCTCAGAATGGTGAAAGCACCACAGTGATGTTCAGCTGTGAAAGTGCCATTGGAATCCATTAATTCCATCACCAGGATAAAACCACCCCAAATTTCAGGCCACTGCCTTCCTAACCTGTGTTCAAAGGCTCCTCCAGCTGTAAACCTAAATGCTGTGGTCCTGTCCTTTTACGTAAGAAGTTGTGCACAGTGGACACTGCATGAAGATCAGAGAGCAGCAGCAATCAACTAAGTACAATCAGCTGCAATTGCAAACTCTCTCAGTATTTATTACATGATCAGTGGTGCATTGGAAACTAGAAGTAAAAATCAATTTGATCACTACTATCAACTGAGGAAAAAATTGCTAGTTTTGTTCCTATTGACAGGCCCACACTCAGTAGGAATTGCCACATCAGGAAGATTTATAAAGATTGGTCCTGCCTCACAGTACAGAAAGGACTTGGACCTCATAACACCAACCCAAAGGCTATTTGTTACCACTTCACTGCAAAAACAGCTTGCCATGCTACAGAATATGTAAGTTTGCAGGGACTTGTTTTCCCTTGCTGCTCAGGAAGCCAAGAAAGTGAAGGGATTATTTCTTCCTTCTGCCAAGAGAAATTAATTTGGACTGCTAGAATGATACTCTTGAAAGCCAGTTAGTTAGACAGATAGTTATATAGGCCTAGACAGATAGTGAGATAGTAAACCCTGGAGGAATGCAAGTTTAAAATGAAAAATCTGAAAAGTAATGTGTGAAGCATCATGGGGGTTGCTAGGATTATCTGTGCATAGTTGCCTGTTGGAATGTGACTTTTTTCTAATGCCCTTAAAAAGACTCTGTGCTATGCAGTCCACAATGCTAAAATAAGGAAAATTCAGATAATTTCCTTAAAGCACACATGAGAGAAAATTGTGTTCAAAAGAGGCTATATAAAATGCCATTTCTTTACACTAACCTGTCTGCTGTTGGATATATCAGAGATTGAAAGCAGCTCCTTCCAGCACAGACACAGGTCCCACAAGTCAACAGCATCCCACCACACACCTCTGAGCACGTGTGCACACAAACACTCCCGCACTCCTATCCCAGGACACATACACACTGACTGCCCCATTGCCCCACTATTAGTCACCATCCATACGCTTTTAGTATTGACCTGCTATATGCTCAATCTCGCAGAAAAATGACCACCTTTTTACAGATTATTTCCCTACTTTCCCCTCTTCCTTCCTTTTCCACTCGGACCTCCTCAACAAGCATCTCTCTTAACATGCCTGCTGAGTCTGTAACTCCTAACAAGGAGTCTGTGTGCAAACCAGCAAAGCATTGATTCTATAAAGTTGTAGAATCAAAAATTCATGCAGGCCCATGCTCTCCCCACAACCTTTTCCTGTAAGCAGCAGTTCTGTATTCAGGCTGGGTTCACATTAATCTGAAAAGTACATATGGCTAATGGACCTCTGCCTCACTGAGAGCTAGAGGAAAGCTTTTGTTTTCCTCTCCTTTTTGCATTAAGAATTGTTGCATGTTCTGACTTCTGATCCATTGAGCCAGAGGTTTTAGACAGAGATGAAAAGTTGCTTTCTGTTCCGAAAAATTAAGCGGAGGACACTCTGGGTATCTTACTTAATCCTAAACTTTGCCAGTTTGACCTGGGTTTGTCCTCTTTATGGCAGAGCAGGTAAGAGGGGGCAGCAAACTGCTGAGCTTTGGGCTAAGCAAAACGAATGTTTTAACCACCTTCCCCCTCACTCCCAATTTGTAACACATTCAATTTTCAGACAGACTTTAACAAGGCAGGGTCTTCCCAGCCCTGGAGCACACAACAAGGTTGACAGCTGCTACGGTCAAGGCTTAAATAGTACAAGAGTCAGTTTTATGAGCCATAGTTGCAATTACTAAGCTTCTCACTGCTCTTTGGCAGCCAGAACATACAGATTCTTCTTCCTGGTAACTGATCTCTGACCACAGAGCCAAAGACATTAGGCTGAACCTAAGAAATCATCTCACCAACACAAAGGAAAGCCTGTCTTACAAAGGGTTGTACCTATGTCTTTATGCATGTCCCAGAGAGCCGCCTTTGCCCTCCTCATCCTACATCTGGGAATGAGAGAAATCATCAGCTGCCTCCCCAGCACATCATTAAATCAATACCACCTTAAACAAGTCCCATGTTCCATTCACCTGGGAAGTTGTATTCCACTTCACAGAGGCAGAGAGAGGATTTCAGACTGCAGCAAGCAAGTCATGCTGAAGGTCATGAAATCTGCACATGAGCAGATTCACACACATGGGTTCTCTGGAAATTGTCCTGGGCTACTGAAGTCACAGAATCACAGAATATTAGGAGTTGGAAGGGACCTCGAAAGATCATCTAGTCCCACACCCCTGTCTGAGCAGAATCTCCAGACCAGGTCACCCAGGAACGCATTCAGGCAGGTTTTGAATGTCTCCAGAGGAGACTCCACAATGCCTCTGGGCAGACTGTTCAGTGCTCTCTCACTCTCACAGTGAAAAAGCTTTTCCTTATGTTTAGGTTGAACCTCCTATGCTCCAGCTTGCTCCCATTGCCCCTTGTCCTGTCATTGGCTGTCACTGAGAAGAGCCTGGCTCCTTCCTCCTGACACTTGCCCTTTACAAATTTATAAACATGAATGAGGTCACCCCTCAGTCTCCTCTTCTCCAAGCTAAAGGGACCTAGCTTACTCAGCCGCTCCTCAGAGAGGACATGCTCCACTCCCTCCATCATCTTTGTGGCTCTGTGCTGGACTCTTTCAAGCAATTCCCTGTCCTTCTTGAACTGAGGGGCCCAGAACTGGACACAGTCAGTGGGAGCTTGGTAAAAGATTTTGATGTGCACAGGATCAAGCACTAGCAGCGCCACCCACTGATTCTGACAATGATTAATGTAAGAGGTTAGAAATGAAAGAAGATTTTAAACTGGAAACTAGGATACATGCCTGTCTTGTTCCATTTCTAATATTGTTTGTATCCCACTAACATCGTTAGAGAGTACTAGCCTTATCTTGGGCTGCAGAAAAGCTGGAGAGAGAAATATATAGCTGTAATCTGAACAGGAAAAGCTCTAGCTTCCCAATTTGGAGGAACTACTTAAGTCCAGAATTTCTATTTATTTTTTAAAGTCAGACTCTGCTTATGCTTTCTAATACAATATTTTGCCACTGGGCAAGATCTGGGCATGTAGAACATTTAACAAAGTAAGTACTGTACAGAATGCAAAGTTCCTCCTAAGGAGCTCCATCTGCCTAAAATATATTCTTGTAAGGCAGCCTTTCAGCAAACAAGCCATTCTTATCCCATATTTTGTTTCACAGCTTGCAGCAGCAAAGTACCATGGGCCAGCACAGGTCCTGTCTGTTGCCTGGAAGCAAACGTTTATATTAACATCTGGCAAAGAAAATCTCAGCACAGATTCCCAAAGATATTTTGACACTTAACAGAAATATTTCTGGCTTTGAGTCTCCCGCCCTTAACATAACCACACCTGTTCCCCTGCAAGACTGAACTATTCACTTGGAAAGATACAAATGAGATACTGCTGCATGAAGGCAGTTGGCCAGGTGGATAGAGACTGTATGAAGATATCCATCTTGTAATTGTTTGACTAGGTCTGTATTGTATAGCTCAGTACTCAGGGAGCACACAGGGTTCCCATTTCTGCTCCGTGTTACGAACACAACTGCTGAAGCAGGTCACAGCTTGATTTCTGAGCTGTTGGGGAGCTTTCAGAGCACCAAGTCTATGGTGGAAGGGCACTAGATGGTCTCCTCTCTATATATGAGAAATAGGGAACTATAGTGGTCTAAGCCTTAGGCCAGCATAACTCTACATTTGCAATCCAGGCACTGCTCTGCCTAGATTTCTGTAAACCACCCAGTGTCTCCTCCTCCCACCTCCTAAAGTTTCTCTACTTACCTCTTGAATTTGTAGATTAAAAAAACAGCCAAGCCTACAAACACCACAGACAACAACATCAGCATTGCTGAACTGCTATGACCTGTGCTGGAATCAACAAGGGGTGCTGCAGGAGGAAAGGCAGAGCATTACATTTGCAAGACATTATTAGGTAACACATAACTAACAGAGAGTTGAGCTCAGCTCTGGTTTTGCTACATCTGCTTTAGCATCACTGCATGGTGCATACTGTTTACAGCAAGACCAATCAGTAGGAAACAAATTGACTCATCCTCTGAAAGCCAAGCTCCTTTTTCAAGACAGTGCATTCTAACATCTCCTACTGAAAAGGCACAGCAAGCCATGCTTAGCTGAATTGCTGATCCCTCTTGTGTTAACATTCTGGGCTATTTCTTTCCAGGCTTTTCCAGGGACAGGAGTAGAAACAAAACTTACACAGTGTGGCTTAATGCATGTCTGTTCCCCTGTGGAGAAGCTACATCAGAGCATCCATGAACAGCATGACTCCCATGTTCCAACAACATATGTCTGTTTCACACGTGACAGGGATCCAGTCTTGTGAGAAGCCTCACGGTTCATCCTTGCACTGGACCTTACAGACTTTTTAATTGAGTCAGTTTTCATAATGTGAAGGAGCCCAGAGCAATAGCCCTGGACCCAACCATGCAATACATTATAACATTTTGGAGATCTGATCCATCTATCCTTGACATTTTGGGTGTTCTAAATGGAGTGTATTACTATACCTTGTTTATTCAGCTATTCCCACAGCTCATTGGAGCAGACCATCTGAATGGCCTAAGCACTGTGCTGAGAATCAAGAGTCTGATGAGAAGCCTCTAATGATGCACAAATGATTTTAAGTAGCAGCTGAGTGTTTCTCACTCTGCACAAATATTTGATTTTGTGTTTTTACTGTTCTCTATTCTTTTTCTGTCACCCAGAAGATGGGGGCAAAGTATATGCAAATAAAGTCACTTCTGGTTCCATCACCAAATTTTCACACCTAAGAGTCTGATCCTGTCCATATTCTGCTTCTACTGCTTCTACAGACCAAAGAAAAGAACTGACTGTTATTTCACCTGAACCCAAATACTATGGGAATGGTCATGAAACAAATGCAGCATCCCCACTATGGGAGGCAGAGAGAGTGTGAGAATAGTTGAGCACTGTAAGCTAAATCCTTATTTTGCAGTGTCAAGAACAAACCCCCAGATATTTGGATCTCATTCCCAGTTTTGCAAATTAATTCATTCAAGCCTACTCCTATTAACACCTGACTCTCATCCTCAAACTACAGTCAGAGAGCAAAAGCAAAAAGGCATTACCTGTAGGATAGGTCACAAGCCTTGGTTTAGCTCAGCTCTTGACTCTGAGAGAGTTTTGTGTAAAAAAAAAAAAGCTGAAGTGTATTATCATGGGACATGAATCCCAATCTTTTGAAGAGGCTATCAGCAATGTCACATGCACAAAACCTACATTTCAGATAATTGCAAGGGCAGTCATAAAAAGCAAAGGCAAAAATAAATCCATCATCTCCTTTGTAGCCACCACTGTCTCCGAAATAGCCGAGAGCTTCACACAAGGCCGACCAAAATTCTCAGCAGTAGCTGAGAGCTTCACACTAAGGTGGTTTAGAGCAAAGGGGGTGATGAAGCTTAAAGTGACTATTCATTACTCTGTGCAAAAATGGAGATAGGTAGCATTGAAATTTAAATAAGTTCTAATTTGTAGAATTCATTGTTCAGGTACTATTCTCTGTAAGAGGCCTAGATCTTCTTTTCATGAGTACTTTGCCCATATAAAGCTTCTTGGCTAGTCATAATATTAACAAGCCTTTTGCAATAAGGATTTGATCCAATATCCATGTGCCCAGTGAGGCCTTAATAGAAAACACCATTCACCTGATTTTCTAAAACACTTGAAAGACATCCACGCACTAGTTAATTAAGCCACAGGGAACTCTTAAAGGGTACTTTTAATACTTGTACAAACTGGTGCATGAAGATGCCACTGCTGGATTCTGTTTTTAAAACTTCCTTCTTCTACCACAGACAGCATCTCAGTCTTACTTTTCCCAGTAGCATGTGTAACAAACTGAGTGCTCTGATGTAGACTTGTTCTCCTGGCATTTTCTGAAGCCTCAGGAGAACCACAGCTATGCATTTGACTTCACACTCACCTAAAGTTAACTGAGTAACATACACAACGACTTCAACTCCAGGCTTCAGTTCAAACTGGACCAGGTTCTGGTTGAGAGCATTAAAAAGGATTTCTACCACCTGATGAAATAATAAGACATATAGTAGTTACAATATAGAAGACAGCAAGCTCTGGAGAATATTAAGGAATGCCTTTAGCCTATGAATAGTGACTAACATATTTTACTGGCTTCAGGAAGAGAAGGGAAGTAAAAGACTGAGAAGTGGAGAGAAACATGTCCGTGTGCTTTACATGGAACTGAGCGTTATTGTAATCAAGTCTCCCACAGACTATGTTATTGTATCTCTACTGGGAAGCAAACTGGAAAGTTAGTACATTTTTTGTTTCTTTTAGGGGTGCAGGGGAGGTGGGAAAAGAACTAAGGATCTTTTCACCCTTCATGATGTCATGTGAGTTTGACCTTGGAAATCACTGACATACTGGCCTTTCATTGGTGGATGATGGAACTAAGTTAGGTAGTCCAGCTTGGTAACACTTCTTTAATCACAGTGATTCAAGACAATCCTACTCATGTAGGGATGAGTTTTGAAGATTAATGGTAAACTTGCCATATTTCACCTTCATGTAGAAAAGGGGCCTTGGACTAGAGTTTACTCATGGCTCAGCAACCCAGGTGTGATGTGTGATATGATTGCCTCAGAGCACATACTTGGCATGTCACACTGGTGCCCGAGTTTGTTAATGTCTTGTCTCCCTAGAGTAGTTCTGATGGTCAGGGCACAGCTACTGAGGAGTTCTGATGGCCTGCTCTCCAGGGCAGAGCTCCTCAAGCAGAAGCCTACAATAGGTGCCAAAGTACAACTTAGTAGACCATCAAATAAAATTAGAGCACTAGAGCTTCAGGCATCAGCTAGTCAGAAACCTAAGCTGAGATGTCTGCATAATAGTGATATAAGAAATACTGACATGAAAACTTGTTGAGGGGAGGAATTGTAATATGGGTAGATCCTACTGAACAGAATGGAAATGACTCCAAGAAAATCCCTCCTTAAAGCCTTCCAAACCTTCCCACCACAATGCATCTCTTCTGCACACTCACCACCATAAATTTAAACAGTCAGCATTGCTTCCGAGGACAAATGCACTACTCTGAGGGGACTGACTTTACTCAGGGAATGACAAGAGCTTCCACAGAATTCAGCAGTCCTCTGAATTATTCCATGTTTGATCACAGAAAAGTTACTTCTCCAAGAATTACTTAGAGATGGGCTCACACATAGCCTGTACGCAGTAAAAATGCTGCATACAAGAACATTACCTAGAGCTAAGCAGCCTTTCCAGCAGTACTTCACTCCTTTGCCTTTATAGAGCTGATTTAATCACTTGGGTAATTCTAGCATGAAAGCTTCAGCAGCCTAGTGCTGTTGTTCCTAGCTCTTCCCTTGCCTGCATATCACTGTTGCTATTCATCACTGTAATTACCTATTTATCTAAATGGATGGATATTGTACCTTCCAAATATAGTTTGCACACGCCATTCGCTACAACAGAAAAAAGAGGTCTTGTTCCAGTGATATATGAGCTGAAGAGCCTGATTTATTTTTAGTAAACCTCAGTATATTATCTTGCTGCTTTGGCCTCTGTCTATTAGCATTCTTCCAGGGAGTAGAGGGAGTACATATTCAAGGTTCCTTTGGCCGTAACTACTGTAATAAGGACACACCACTGATGTAGGAAGAGCCACTGCCGGTAGACTGTGACATATCTCAGTGAGGTATTAGAAAAGCCTGTTTTTCCTCTGAAAATAACTTTTTTTAATGCCATGAACTATACTGCCACAGTCCCAGATACATCCGATTCCATTACACTTATTATAAGTCACTTCCAATGGTGTACAAGTTAAGGGTCCATTGGCAAACAGTATGATAGGAATGAGTGTTCCATGAATCCTCTGCTTACTTGCTCCAGATCAGCCTCACTGCTTTTCCTCCTCTCTGATGTGTTTTTATGTGGCAGTATGAAGAGTTCAGCAGAAGTAGGCAGCCCAGGAAATACAGCTACCAAGATCTGTTCATCAGGGATACCAGTCACCTAAGAGAAAGAAAAGAAAAGAAAAAAAAAAAAAAACAAACAGAAAAAATGAGGTCACCAGCTGCTATTCTGTTACTTATGTTTCCATTCTTCAGTGTGAGGGTGGTGAGGCAGTGGAACAGGTTGACCAGGGAAGTTCTGGATGCCCCCACCTTGAAAGTGTTCAAGGCCAGGCTGGATGGGGCTTTGAGCAACCTGGTCTAGTAGAAGGTTGCCCTGCTTATGGCAGAGGGCTGGAACTGGATGATCTTTAAGGTCCCTTCCAAACAAAACCATTCTATGATTCACTACAGGAAACTTTGCTCCCATCAAATTGTTATTTGTCGGTTCCATTGCAGGTGCTGTGGTCCAAATGAGCTGCCCATTTGGTGGGTCAGAAGTAGAGTTTCTAGAAGGAAATGTAGGCTTGGCAGCACCCCTGGGCCCAAAGATCTCAACCCAAAGTCCAAACCTACCATGTTTCCAGATCTGAATTTTTCATATAGACTTTATTGCTACAAAAGAACAACCCAAAGTCAGATCCAGAGAGTTTGGCTCAGAGCAACCAGTGGTAAGTTGCATCTAACATGACGTATGAAGAAAATTGTCTGCAATCACCTGCTAATGTCAGGTTATAGGGATCTACGTTTGGCATAAATTAATAATATCTCCAGTGGAAGATTTTTTTATTACTGGGGCTGATCAGGCAGGCTGTGCTAGGAATTGCTCAGTTTTCTGAACCAAGAGTCACTTCCACACCTGACTCTCACAGCTGTCTTCAGCATGACCTGCTCACGGAGGCTACTGCCTTCTCTCCCCAAATCCAAGCTGTGCATCCTCAGTAGGGCAGGAAGCCTCTTCTCCCTCAGAAACTCTCTGCTGTATGAGGCTGAGCCCATTAGCTCCCTGGTCCTACCCCACCTCAAGCTCCTTGTCTTCATTCTTGAACTGAAATGTATCAATGGGGCAGGGATTGAGATCCATCCTGTAAGCATAGACCACAGGCTGCAACCAAATAGTCACAAAAGGATACACAAACAAGCACTTCTACATTATTTCTAGTTCACCGTTACAACCGAATTAATTTTCGTTTTCTGCAAGCTTGACTCTGAACATAGTAAAAGTGAACAACAGTTTAAACAAATGAACTCAGTGTTTTCTCAGGGTGGAAAAACAATCAAAAAAACCCTTATAAACTGTGAATTTTGAGTGGGCTGCAGATAAGAAAAGCTGAGCAG